AACTGATGAAGTTAAGTTTTTCCTGATTATTTGTAATCGAGCAGATGGGTGTGGGGTAAATGTAAAAACGGGCTTTATTTCAAATTTTTGGTTGCGTATGTGTTTCGGAATACATATTTTCTTTTATTGCCATTGCCATTTAATTAATTGTGCGTTTAGTTGAATCCATTGTACATAACCCAGATAGAGATTTTATGTTCAAGTTTCAATTTGTGATTCTCCAACTATTTTGAATAGTTGTGATTTTAATTCAATCATTCTTCCTTTCCATATAGTTTAGGCACGGAGCCTATGCTTTCAATTCAACTCATGTTGTCCATAAAAGACGTATATAGCACAATAATCCTTTTGGCAGGTCTGAGTCTTAGCTTGTATATGAAATCACGATGCGAATAAAATAAATTAAACAGTTAATAACTTCTGAAGCACGAGCAGTACAAAATGCAGCAATTGAACGCGGTTAACCACAAATTATGCAATTGTGGGGGAAGCAGACATTACTACATAATAACGATGTGTTTAAACATAAGATTATCTTCATGACCGCCTACGTTCCGCAAAAAGGTATAAATAATAACATTCTGAAAAGGTGACAACGTATTTCCGACATGCAGGCACATCCCCCATTGTTACAAATAGCATGCAATTACGGCTTACTTACGTCTAGATCTGCAGAGATTTGCCTTCAGCCGGCTTTACTGAAATAAAATACGTTGGATGTTGACATGCTAAATCTCTGCAATGTAATGTATGCATTCTTCTTTGTGACATAAATGCACCCTTAACGGTAAATCGGATTAGAGGAGAATGTTTAATTAAAAAAGTAATCGCATTTGTTAGAAATAGGATTAAAGAAAAACTATGAAATCCAGAGTTTCAACATTTAAGGATTGAAAGGTGCATGAAAATTATTTACAAGTCACGAAATTTAAGTTTGAACTTAGTCACTTTAAATTTCAACTTAATCTTCTTAATTTTAAAATTGGAGTATGATAATTTTACAAGAAGTCGTTTCAAGCAGAGATCTTGGATTAAATGCCAATTTAAAAGAAATCCATTCTAGTCATCAAAGAGCATTCAGAAGATTCTTGAATATAAAACTGGAAGCCGATCTCTCATTTTACACTCTTGTGCCACGCCTCACGAATCTTAGTTAGTGTCGTTGTTTAGCGGAAAACGCCGGGCCTTGCGGGACTTATTCTTGAAATCATTTGAATATGCGAACACTAAAATGTCAAGTTAATCCACCTGAGATACATAATCAGAAGTGGCTAAAGCGGTGACATTACATTTGATATGGTAATGGCTAGTCCAGTTTGAAATCATGCAATTGGTTGTAAATTTGAAAAAAAAACGCATTTAAAAAAATCCGTTTTCACAACATTTAACCAAAAAATGGGTCCACAAATAAGAAATTCGCACTGGCCATGCACACATATTTCTTTGAACTCCATCTCATGGCGCAAAACAATTTTTTTTTGATTCGAATTAGTTTACTTTTTCGAGATGCTACATAGACAATTTATGCATTCGGTAAGACTAACGGAGAGTATGTAGAATGGTCTCGGTTCGGTTTTCGGTTGACGGGTTACTTACAAATCATTGCAACGCGACAGAAAGAAATTTGCTGTGATGCTGTACTGTTGTTCCCCTTACTTGTTTACATTTTTGCAAGTAGGATGGAAAGAGAGAGCACAATATGCAAGAAAGCAAGAAAGCTGTTGAAAAGCTGGAAAGATTGGGGCGGCAGTTGGGGAAACAGATATTGGTGGAACTGGAGATTTCAATAGTCGCTCTCATAGTTACTGCAAGTGGGAACTAGGCAGGAATTAACAGAATTCAAGAGTTGGATGAATTGAAAAAAATGAAGAAGGATATGAAGAGATTAAAAGGATGTTTAAATCAGTAGTGCGACAGCCATGATTTTATGAAGTGAATTTGGCAAATAAAGAAGGCCCACGAGAAGAGATGCAGGTGGAGAATGAAAAGTGGTTGACTGGACGATGGGAAAATAGAGAATAGGATTCGTGACATGATAATTATATAAAGATTGGGCGACATAATGATGAAGTCTCAAGAAGGATAGAAGCGCAGAATTGTATAGGTTTGGACATGTAAATAAGGGAAGAGGGATATGTCGGTAAGCAGAATGCAGTTGGAGAGGAGAAGCTGGCAAGGAAGACAAGGAGAAGTGAAGGACTGTGTATGGAGGAATAAAGGGGGGAAGGGGTTGGATGAAGGAGAATGTATGGGACATGATAAGTACGTACTAGAAACTATCCGTACTTTTTTAGTGTAAGGAGCAATATTTCAAAAAGAGTTTCCATTTAAGAAATGTCGCATTCTTGAGCACCCTTGTATAATTTTTAGGAAGTTGTTCCATAATTGGTAATGGAATGATCACATATGAGTCTTATTTGACAATTTGGGAGATAGGAAGAGTGGGAAATATAATAAATAATTCAAAAATCCTCTCGTTTAGGTGTGTATGGTAGGCTGTATAAAACTGAAAAGGTAAGGGTGTAAAGTCAAAAGTCTCAGAACGGTCAATTATTTCATTATGTTACAATCATCGTTTTTCAAATTTGCGTAATATGTGTATAATTTAAGGAGTAACAAAGCGCAATGAAATGCAATTACTTCTGGTTAAACTGGAAATGCACCATTTAATCTTAATGAAAGTCTGTATATACTGCATACTTCTTCATAATAACCTCTTCTTATGCAGAAATTTATCTATTCTCAATGTATAACGAATGTTTATTAAAGGATTAAAGGGCTGTGCAGCATTTCAAAACTTGTAATTTGCAATTTGAAGTCAATTAATTCTAATGATTTGTCGATTATATTTTTGTGAGCCGTTTGATAAGGAAGTATAAGGGTGATAGGTTACTGCTGAGAAAAGTTATCAGCGCCAGTCTGACGGAAGAGGAAACAACTTAATGTTTTTACGTACAAAACTGTGAATAAATTATTCATTTGTGATGTCAAGGAGCAGCGTGAGAAGCACGAATAAGCTATTGTTGAATCGAGTGGGTTTCTGATAGATGGCCATACTGCACTTGATTTGGCTAGGAAACGAAGTCGTTCTTAATTATTAACAGTGGCGAATGTAATACTGCGCTATTTGTATGCGAATTTTTATAAAATTGAAAAACAGTAAGGAAGATTTGAAAGATCGCAGTATGGAAAAAGTACGAAACTAATATTCAGAACAGCAGTTTTTTAGCTTTTTCTATCTATATTGGTATAAGATTTGATAAATTTCAAAAGTGAAAGAGTCATATCTTTAAAAAGTCTGAGGATTCCTGCACTCTCAACCAAATAGGTAGCGGTATTATATCTTTATATTGTATATTTAACCATTTATTTACCATAATCTTCGCTGTAAATATTGTTTTGCTTTATTTCGCGTGCGGCTGCAGCTCTTGTGTCTTAGAATAAACGAAAGGAGGTCTCCAAGGTAACATCCTGTCTACTTTGTGGTTTTGCTTTGGGCGATAATGGATTTGACATAAATCACTTTTTTTGCCATTCTTCACATGTCTTTTTTCGGATATAATGAGATTGAAGTCATTGCGAGTGTATAGCTATGTTTTTGACGTGTCTGGTACATAAAGTTAAATTTTATTGTTACTTGATCGATTTATGTGTTTCAACTGTGTTTTAGATTTAATGTTTGTTTTTATAATTGTTTAAATGAATTGATCGGATTGCTGATTTTTTATGTATGTTTATTCGATTTTGAGATGTTTTCTTGCATTTTTGTTGCTTATTTTGATTTAATTTCATGTATTTTTGTGGGGT